TCATTGCTCAAGGCCAGGGGGGTGAGCATGGACTCTGTGGCTTTGCATGGGTCAGTAGGCCTGTTGCAGTGTCCGATCTTTCTAATGTACTTATTTCTATCGTGTGTGTTTTATGTTGTATTAGTCCAGTCCTGTCCATCCACTCACACACACACACACGAATAACCAGAGATGTCTCCTCTTTAATTATTTTTGCACATTTAAATAAGGAAGAAGGGGAAACATAAAAAAAACCCCCTCTACTGTACTAAAATGAATTAATTATAGTATGTACGTTATAAGTATTGCAAATTAAAAGAAAAACATTCGAGAGATGAATGCAGAGACAAGAATAGATGACCAAAATCAAAAAAATGTTTTATTTTAAGGAAGTCCTAAAAATTTACATAGTGAACGCACGAAGAAAACTAGGAGAGTCAGTCTTATAATGGGTCAAGGGAAGGAGGTATTACTGTCTATGTCTCTAACCAGAAGAACTAAACAAACCTAGAACAATAAACCTCACTACACTTGCCTACCCAAAAAGGTACACGCATTTATCAGCAATTTATTACACCTTCTGCAAAACACTAAACCTGTAAGGTCATTCATAGACTGAAATAGAAAGGTAATCAAGGTAAGAACCAAGGATGAGTGACTGCAAGTTTTATTGGTAAAGCAATGTTACTAGTCAAGCATCGTCCCTTTACAAACAAACGTAATTCACAATGACTAGTCCTAAACAAGTCCTTTGTTTTATACATACAGAATAAAACCATACACATATAGAACTCAATGTATAATTCCCTTAAGACTACCCTTTGTGTAATCTTGTCACAACTAAGTGTTGCATTTAATCACTGTTATAACTAAGTGTTTATAGAGAGTGACCATGTTTTTTTGTATCAAGCTTGGTAAAACGTCTTATGGTATTCAGGTAACAAACCAATGACCAATTACGATCCCAATGGCTAGTAACCCCAATCACCTGTAAGACATGTAAACTAAAAAGAGTAAGAATGAAAAACTTTAGTAAACACTGGATCTTGAATGTGAGCATGGGAATGTAGTGCAATGACAAGCGAAACAGGATTATTCCTGATGTGTTAATGATGAAAAGAAGATGGATGTCCTGGCCCTAAGAAGCGAAACAAATGCTGAGGGGGAAGGGATGTTCGTGGGAGTGAAATAAATGGGATAAAATCTGGAGTTCTGATGAGAGATAGAGCAAAGGAAGGGGTACCAGTAATGTTGAATGATCAGTTAAAGTGGAAGGAGAAAAGAATAAGAATGTGTAAATGCAAGAATTATGTGGATTAAAGTAAAGGCGCGTTGGATCGAGAAGTGGTCAAAATAAAGCGTGTATGCACCTGTAGAAGAAGAGGAATGTAAGGAGAAGAGAGATTTTGGAGATTGTTATCGTGAATGTTTAGAGCCTTTGAACCAAGTGAGAGAGTAAATGTGGTAGGGGACCTGAATGCAAAGTAGGAGAAACTTTTAGAGAGGGTTGTTTAGGGTAAGTTTGGGGTGCCAGGTGTAAATGATAATGAGAAGGCCCTTTGATATGAACCTTAGTAAAAATACATAAAAAAAAAAAAAAAAAAAAAAAAAACAAAAACAAAAAAAAATTTTTGGGGGGGGGGGGGGGGGGGGGGGGGGGGGGGGGGGGGGGGGGGGGGGGGGGGAAGCAAAAAAAAATTTTAAAAAAAAAGAAGATAAATAAGTATACAAGATATGATGTAGGGCAAAATGAAAGTAGTTTTTTGGATTATGTCATTGGTAAGATAAAAGACTGTTGAGTAGACTTCAGGATGTACATGTAATAGAGGGCCACAGATATATCTAATCACTTTCTAGTTGTTAGCTACACTGAGAGTAAAAGGTAGATGGGATACAAGGAGAATAGAAGCATCGGGGAAAGAGAGAGGTGAAGGTTTATAAACTAAAAGAGGAGGCAGTTAGGGAAAAGATATAAATCAGCAATTGGAGGATAGCATGCTAATGATAGCATAGGCAAGGGTCTGAAGAGGTATGGGGTAGGTTTAAAAATGTAGTGTTAGAGTTTATCAGCAGAAGTTTGTGGTTACAGAAAGTGGGTAGTGGAGGAAGAGGAGCGAGAATGTTGGAATGGTGGAATGTAAAGAGAGTGGTAAGGGAGAAAAAGTTTAGCATAGGAGAAGTTTTACAAAGTAGAAGAGTGATGCAAGGAGGAAGATGTATATGGAGAAAAATAGATGAAGGTTAAGAGAGTGTGAAGCAATTGTCAAAAGAGAGCAAATGAGAAGTTGGGGTAGATGTTTATCACAAATTTGATGAAAAAATATAGATAAAGTTTTAGGAGTGAGATTAATCAAGTTAGAGGAAGCAAGAGAACAAATGGATTTGTCATATAAAAATAGAGAGGAGAGTTAATTAAATGGAGAGTTCGAGGTAATGGGACAATGGAGGAAATATTTTTGAGAAATTGTTTAAAATGTTGATGAAGTGAATGGAATTTGTGATTTCGTTATGAGGTCAGGAGGAATAACATCTTGTAGGATGAAGAAGAGCCCGTTGTGATTGTGGGGGAGTATCGTGAGGCAGATAGGTAAAATGAAAGGGGGAGTAAGGCAGCCGGGGATTGATTGGATAAATTATAGAAATGTTAAAAGCAGGTGGCGGATATAGTTTTGGAGTGGTTGGTGCAAATTATTTAATAAATGTATGGAAGCAGGGTAAGGTATCCTAGGGTTTGAGCAGACGAGCATGCATAGTTCCTTTGATAAAGGCAAAGGGGACAAAAAGAGTGCAAAAATTATAGGGGATAATTCTGGTTTCGTATAACCTGTAAAGTTGTATGGTAGAGTCATTATTGAATAGAATTAAAAGTAAGATGGAGAGACTAGGATAGCAGATGAACAAGGAGGCTTTAGGAAAAGGTAGCGGTGTGTGGTGGACCAGGTGTTTACAGTGAAACATAAAAGTGAAGCAGTATTTAGATAAGGCAAAACGAGCGGTCATTGTGGCATTTATGGATTTGGCACAAGGCTTATACAGGTGGCATAGGGGGGCAATGTGGCAGATGTAGCAGGTGTATGGTCTAGGATGTAGTTGTACTGCAGCAGTGAAGAGTTTATTACAAGGATTAGTGAGGCCTCAATTAGAGATACATAAGGAAAGAGGTGAAATCGATATTTCCCAGTAAAAGTAGGCCTTAGACAGGATTTGTGATGTCACCGTGTTTGTTATTATATATTCTCTATAGATGGGTTGTAAGAGAAGTAAATTGCGAAGGGTCTTGGACAAGAGGCGTGGAGTTAAAAAGATAAAGAATCACACATAAAGTGGGAGTTGTCACAGTTGCTCTTTGCTGATGACACAGTGCTCATGGAGATTCTGAGAGAAGATTGCAGAGATGGTGAATGAATTAGGTAGGTGTGCAAGAGAAGAAAATAAAAGTGAAAACAGGAAAGAGTAAAGTTTATAGAGGATAGCAAAATATTAGGCGATGAAGATTGATATCAGATTGGAGGGAGAGAGTATGGCTGAGTTGAATGTATTCAGATATAGAGAGGAATTAGCCACGTGTCAGCGGGATGGGTCTATGAAGGATGTAGGTGAATCATAGAATTGCTGAGGGGAAAAGAGCGAGTGGTGCACTTAGGAGTCTGGTGGGAGACAAAGAACTTTGTCCATTCCGGAGGCAAAGAAGGGGAATGTATGCGGAGTATAGTTTTACCAACACTCTTATATGGGTGTGAAGCATGGGTGATGAATTGTTGCAGTGAGAGAAGACTGGAGGCAGTGGAGATGTTCCATGTCTGAGGGCAATGTGTGGTGTGAATATAAGTGCAGAGAAAACGTAAGTTTGGAGAAATTAGAGAGGTGCGGGATTACCAACTTAGGATCCAAGGGCTGAGGAAAGGTTGTTGAGAGGTGGTTCGGACATGTAGAAGAGAATGGAGCGAACAACAGAATGACTTCAAGAGTGTGTATCATCTGTAGTGGAAGGAAGGCGTGGTAGGGAGGTCGGGCGCAAGAAAGAAAGTGGTGGAGGAAGGGGGTAAAGGAGGTTTTGTGTGTAGGGGCTATGACTCCAGCATGCGTGCGTGAGCGTGGTGTTGACTAGGAGTGCTGGAGACGAATGGTTTTTAATACTAGACGTGCTGTTGGAGTGTGAGCAAAGTACAATTTATGAAGGATGTTCAGGGAAACCGTCAGGCCGGACTTGAGTCCCTGGAGAATGGGAAGTACGTGCCTGACATCTGAAGAGGGGTGTTAATGTTGGGCAGGTTTAAAATACTGTAAGTGTAAAGCACCCTTCTGGACAAGACAGTGATGGAGTGAATGAAGTGAAAGTATTTTTCTATTTTCTGGGCCGAGCCCCCTTTGCCTTGGTGGGAATGCGCCAGTGCGATAATAAAAAAATAATCAAAGTACACATTTCATATACCTTAATCAAGCTATGCTGATATTAAGTGTTTCACACAAACAAACAATTTACCTTTAGCATTTTAACTCATTAGTAATATAGTATCAATGCTGGGGCACTAATTGAAGGGGTGGGGCACTAATATTGTCCCTTAAAAAAATACCAAAGCTAAATTAGGAACAAATGAAGCTAGTATTCGGTCCATAAATCCTCTTCATTTGAAAACAGAGCTATTTATAGTCTTTGAGACTCTGTTACTCTCAGGCAAAATGCAAATACAACTTGGAACCAAAAATTAAAATTGGCTAAGTTAGAACTATGAGAAAATACATACAAATCCATTTCCCAATACATATTCCTGATTGATAAGTCAGGGGCAGAAAACAGGATTGTAACATAGTTTTGGGCATTTAGAGATGGAGGAAGAATAGGAATGACCAAGTAGTGTGCAGACATCTAGGGTGGAATGAGACAGTGAGAGGCACGTTAATACATGAAAAGTGTCAAGTGCTAGGGGCTTGAACATCCAGGCTGTGAAGAGCATGTTAGTTAGTAGTGTCAAGTGTCCTTTTATAACTTGACATGCAGCAGTGTGGAGCAAGGCAACATTCTATAGATCTTCAGGGAATGGGTTAACTGGACACACCGCGTCGTCCTGCAGGGGAATGATATCACAGCCTGCTGTGGCAGGGAGATAATGAAATTAAACATTGAGTCCATATGAATGTAATGTCCTCTCACTTATAAGCAAGACAGCCATTGAAAATGAGATGATCGATAATATTTTTTTTTAAACCACAGCACTACCATGTGAGAGATGACCATGGAGATTAAAAACCACCAAAATATATTAACAGTAACATAATCCTAACTCATCCCAGCAGCAGCTCACTTTCAAGTCTAGACTTCTATATTCAAGGGTGACAGTAGATCAGAAGTACTCAAACCTAGGAAAGAGAGATATTTTTTTAACAGAATTTAAAGCACATAAAACAGATTTCCAGACTGTTTTTAACAGCAAAGTACCCTGGTAAACACAACCGGGTCAACATAAGAAAAGGCTCTTTTTGCAAATAATCTTTCTCCCCAACAGCATGCAATTAAGATGTGGAAACAGCCATGCTTACCAATACAGAGCTGTAACAATATATCAATTATTCAACCTTTAAAATAATTAGTAGTCACTAGTCTGTAGAGGAAACGACACTACTTACAATGAATAAACCATGGAAGAAGCCATGGCCAGTAGGTGAATTCAATGAACAAAGAAACATGCGCCCATGTTTTGCACTAGTAATTAATGAATTTCATGAACACAGACAAAAGACACCACTCACAGTAAATGCCAACCTGAACCCATACCTATATGTGAAACTAGTCAAACACAATTCACACTTAACAAAATAAATGTACACATAATAACATCATTGGGAGTGGCCAGCCTTGTGAGTGGGCGTGCATGGGGCGCAGCATACCTCGGCCTGCCTTCTTCCACATCTCAATGTTTGTCGCCTCTGGGGCCTTTGGTGAAGTTGGTCCCAGACCTTCTATTGACCGGCTGACTAGGAAGACACACTCGATCTGACCGACTGAGTGGCGTAAGCAAAACCATGTGATGGTCAATAGCGTAGGGACAGCCGTGAGTTACCCCTGCATCTCTGGGCTGCAGTGCTAAAGTCTGTGAGCCCTCGTCTTAGCTGCTGCTACAACTTACTGCCTGTCCGTGCTGACTGAACTAGGTCCTTGGGAAAGCGCCACAAACCTACTATAACACGCCACTAACATCACTCCCAGAATTTCAGAGCACTTCATAAAAATGACAAAGATATCACTTTCATAAAATTTACCAACTGAGCTGGTTTGACGTTGGAGAAGAGTGAGGCTAATACACACAAACTACACCAGGTTGGGGGTATACTGAGCAGGCACTGGTAGCAGTGAGGGACACTCAACAGATAAAGGGTCCCACACTGAACACCAAATACCTGGCTTCCTTGTACTTCTCTCTACTACCCTTGTACTGTACCACCTCAATCAAACACAATCTTAAACTTATTTAAAACTCAGAGAGTACTTAAATATATGACCATACTTTCAATCAGTATAGCCGCATACCTATACACATTATTCCCTTCAGGCAGTAATAAAATCATCACTCATACAACTATCCAAATTGAGTTAATGCCGCGTCTTCACTTTCATTGGTTGTAAACTTTGCGCACACAAAAAATCCACAGATAAGGCAGAACTATGAACTACAGATTTGCAAATATCTTCAGCACAATGTTAGTTGAGAATTGTCCCATGATAAACCACAGGAAGTTTCAAGTTTTACATATTCTTCATTGGGCAATATCTAAACCAAAGGAGACTCTGCACACGCCAACCACACCAGGAAACACATCATCAACACAAGAGCAATAAAACTGAGAAACACCTAGATAACAAACGATATGAATGATACCTAATAATTGACTGTAACCCAGCTAAAACTTGACTGTACACTACATAATTGACTGAATACACAAGTTCAAACCAAAATAAAAGAGATTTTTTGGTCCATGTTTTCATCCTTGAATCATTCAAATGCTTGTTTACACAGCCATAATGTAGTCCCGCTGGTGTTTAGTTTTTTATATTCAAGTACACACTGCTGGGTGCATGTTGATCTTCAGTGCTTCAGACACAGGTCAAGTACTCCCGACATTTAGGTCAATTGCTTCAATGTACTTTGAGAATTGCTCCCAGTTCAGCTGATGGACTGCCTCCTGCCAGAGCCTCCTCTGCCACAATAACTTCATTACTTTTGCATTTGCACACCATCATCTTCATTCTTTGTCCATACCATTTTTGTAGCCTGATTTCACAGTCACTTTGGTTGTTTTTTATGCAATGCAGTCACCTTTGTTTGTGCACCAATAACGCAGCACATGGGAGAAAGGAAACTTTTGATGATGTTTCCGTCAGTCGGGGGGGGGGGGGCACTTTGGACCATTAACTAGCCACACTTATGACACAATGTAGTCCCCAAGCTGGACCACGTCGCTTTAATAGATTTCTTTCTGCTATGTGCGGGTTATTTACATATTTTCCATCAACGGTATTGCACGCTTTTTATTTCTTTACCTTATATTTTTCATTTAGTTTAAGCCACCGCAAACAGCAGAATTTGTGTCGAGTCTATCCCGCTCTGACAAGTATGTCTTTACACACACTAAAGAGAATAGGGACTGGACCCCTGTATTTCGCGATTACTTAGCTGTCCCCAAGGAACAAATTCTATATGCACCCATCTCAAATCATTTCCATCAAAATTTCTAATTCGATTTGGCTTTTTCCCTCATCTTTCAAGGCCTCTCCTCTTTATATTTGTGCGTGTCCCTCAAAGTACATTATTATTTATTTTTAAAACACGCTGACTGTCTCCCACTGACGCCCAAAAAGAAACACTTTCAACATCACGTCATAACTATCACGGTCTTGCCCAGTGGGCACACAGATACTACAGTACAAGTCACGTCACTACTGAACTGCAAATATCCCAAACCCCTCAAAGTAAACCCTTTATTGTTTTTTCATCTCTGTGACTCGGCACCTTCTGAAATACATATTCAACCTATGCTCTAGCGTGCATGTGACATTTTTCTTTAGTCAGCAATGTTGCACACTGCGGGATTTAGAAACCATTCAAAATTACCAAACCATTAATTCAATATAGTTTTTACAACTGGAAGGCATTAATTTATCTTTTAATCTGCACTTTAATGCCAACTAAAATAGTACTACTTCCTGCCCATTTCATGTGTGTATAAAAATTAGTACAATTTCATGCATATGTCAGATTTTAAAATGCAAATGTACTGCCTATCGTAAAGTGGCACACTCATCCTATTATAGCTAAAAATACACATTGTAGTAACTCACTTTATATAAGCAGGACATCAACTAGACAACTGTTCAACCAACATCTACTCCAAATACTGTTGTGAATATAAAGGTGGCAACAATTTACAATCTTGACTTTGGCACTAACATTATCCCAGGCAATAAATCAAATTAAAAAAAATAGAAGAGAATTTTATGTTATAATGGATGTGACCCTTTCACTTCATTCCTGTTTTACAAGAAAACTGCAAAATATTAAATACCTATTTTAAAAATTTTTCCCTCCGAAAAAATTAATTTTTGGAAATTTACAATCCATTTCCTCCAACTCCAACTTTGAACTACATATTAGATAATGGAAATAACTTACCACATTATTAAAACTATTTAAGGTGTACCTCTTTAACACTGGGGGAGACTGCAATCTGCTGTTTCTCACTCAATATAACAAATCTTAAATAAATAAATAAATAAATATTTTCAGTTAATTATAAACTATTACTGTATCAGCATTCACAAACTGAAAGCCCTTCTTGCCCTTAACTGAAGTGTTTTAATAAACGTTAATAAGACCAAAATTTATTCAAAATATGTAGTAATATTCCAGCAACCAATAGGCATAAAAAGTGGCCAGTATATCAACTATGATCCTCTCCTTCCCTTATCTTTCTGCTGATGACCTTCCCTCAACACCCTACCTTTTCCATCTCTCGCTGCTGCTTTGTAGTCTTGTTAAACCCTTTATGAGTTTAATGTCTTCAATGAATATCTGTATAATAATGAGACAGCAGTGAGACAATCTTTCATAAACTGCAATTTATTTAAATTTATCTTAATCACATAACCTGCCACAAATTTCTGTTTCCCTTTATCTTCAGACTGCAGCCACAGCTGATTTCTTAATAGCTAAACATCAGTGGGTGTGCTGCTTTTCTTTGCCAAAGCATAATCTGTAAAAAGAGTGCTGTTGAAAGTTTCTGTTCACCTGACTCACAGCTGAATTAGGGGCATTGATGAAATATGGAATGTTGGAATGGAGATGTTCTACCAAACTTGAAAAATAGAATCAAGAAAGTTTTTCCTTAGTAAAATAAAGGAAGAATTGTACAATACTGACAATCAGCTTTCATTCTTCATCAATTTTGTAGCAAGTTACATATTGCTTTGCATTATGTGAAAGAATTTTATAGTAGTTTTCTTTTGTACACAGTGCTCAACATTTAATAAATGACATAAAAGGGAGAATTTCTTCTACTGTTTCTCACACATTATTTATCATCTATGAATATTTCATGCCTAAATATATTTCTCTGTTTTGTATTAAATTATGACTTAGATATGTAAACTAAGTAGTAAGCCTTAGACTGTGCTTCAAGATGCTACACCTCTACATCTTCACTGTTTTCAAGGTATATCTCTAACATGGTAAATTGGAGAACAAAAATTTTTTTAAACTTTAATAATTTAACTATAAAACAACAAACTGTTCATAAACTCATTAGACAAACTCCCCCAGTAAGCTTAATATATGAACTGCAAAAGCAACAAACATAAAATGTATGTAGTTTGTTTTGGAATTAATCAAAAGGTGTTAATTTTTATACTTAAATGGCTCTGTTAAAAATGATGGGTCATACTGGTTTCTTGTGTGTGCATTTTTTATGTTCCCAATCAAACCTGTGAAGATCCACTTGCGCTCCAAGCAGGCACCAACCCCTGTAGTAATCTGCTTATATACTGTTGGGTACCTGCATCAAAAAAGCATGCAAGGGTCAGTACATTTGTGCTTTAAACTTCTTCCCCAAAATCAGGTTAAAAAAAGTCAAAGCTCCATAAATTACTGCCCCACTAATTCAAGTTATTTATAGCCAACGATAATAAAAAAAAACTGATTTAAAGGTAGAAAACCTGAAACTCTAATAACTTACTGATTCAGCATTGCCTCAATATCTGAAGACGAATTTCCTTGTCAAACTGTTGGATGAACGACCAAATGTAATCAACACTTGCTCCCTTTGGATGTATGTGTAGGAAAGTTGAAGTGAGACCTGCAAAAATTCATCTACAATTAATGGATTTATCATCAATACATCTTGCAATTCAAGAAGCTTCCATATTTATTTTTCTGATTTTATTTACTCTAGACTTCTGAAAGTTTAAAGCTTATTTGATTTTGAAATCCTTAAGAAGAGTGCAATAACAGTGTTAAGAGAGAAAACGAGAATTTCCAGGCCTACCAATAAGCTGTGCTGTCTTGTCAGTAAGGGGAGCTGTTGATATAGACAGTAAGTCCTCTGTTTCATCCTTGCAGTCTTCCTCTCCTTCCCCATTTCCCCCAGCCTGTTCTCTCAGTTTCTTCAACTTTGCTTGCAGTTCAGCCATTTTAGCATCATCCTGACGCTTGCGGACGGCATTTTCAGAAAGTGTCTGGAATGGAAAGATACAATGTTGAAGTACAATATGCATTTGCATTACAAAAACTCATTAGTTATAACGTGATGGATTAATCCTCAAATTTTGTTAAGAATCCCTGAATTCTTTAGGGGTTCCTATCTACAGGAAGGCTGCCAGAGCAGCAGTCAAAACATGAACATGTAAAGTGATCAAGTGATAAAAGAAGTGTAAAGTAAAAGGACACAAGTGCAACTAATGTGACATTTATTGTGGCAACGTTTCGCTCTCCAGGAGCTTTATCAAGCCATTACAAACAATACATGGACACAGAGGGTATATAAAGGCTCAGAGTGAGGTGAATACTAGTGAGGTACCATTTCGATGCTCACTAGTGGTAGTAGTAGTAGTAGTAGTAGTAGTAGTAGTAGTAGTAGTAGTAGTGGTAGTGACAAAAGTAATACAATATGGTAAAGCAATTAATTCGTACATGAGTAAAAGGATATAAAAGCTATTACTTGGGTAACATAAAAATAGGTTGGACAAATATAAACTGGAATGAGGCAGCTTGTTTCAGTGTTCACTCTCTGTGCTTTGTGTAGTATAACAGGAGAGACTATGTGATGGCAGGGTTTACTGTTTTCAGGAGGATTCTTGCTAAGACTTCGGAAAACAGTAAACCCTGCCATCACATAGTCTCTCCTGTTATACTACACAAAGCACAGAGAGTGAACACTGAAACAAGCTGCCTCATTCCAGTTTATATTTGTCCAACCTATTTTTATGTTACCCAAGTAATAGCTTTTATATCCTTTTACTCATGTACGAATTAATTGCTTTACCATATTGTATTACTTTTGTCACTACCACTACTACTACTACTACTACCACTAGTGAACATCGAAATGGTACCTCACTAGTATTCACCTCACTCTGAGCCTTTATATACCCTCTGTGTCCATGTATTGTTTGTAATGGCTTGATAAAGCTCCTGGAGAGCGAAACGTTGCCACAATAAATGTCACATTAGTTGCACTTGTGTCCTTTTACTTTACATATTGTCGGTAATTCTACCAACTTTATTACGATAAAAGAAGTGTCAGTGTGGGTGTACCTGACAGCAAGTGGAGTACTGCTATATATTAACAGCCCTTTTCAAGGCAGGTGAAACTGCAGATCTGGAGAATATACTAAGAACTCTCACTGCATGTGTAAGTACAGTCAGGCCCCTCAATTACTGGGACCATTTGAAGTCCCTTGACCTGTACTCATTGTAATGCTGGCAAGAAAGATGCATCATAATTTACACCTGGAAAATCCTAGAGGGACTAGTCCCAAATCTGCATACAGAAATTACTCTCTGCAAAAGGAAAAAACTGACAGGTGGTGCCAAGCACCATCTGCAGGGGTGCTCGGCAAGCAGGGGTGCCATGAGAACCCTAAGAGATAACACAGCAAGCGACAGGGGGACCAAGACTGTTCAACAGAACTTACGGTGTGACCACTACTGAGAGTCTTAATAAGCCATCCATAATACAATCCACAGAAAAGTTTAACTTAAGCATGTACAAAGTGACAACCAAAGAAAATTATTAACATGTTCATATTTTATACCTGCTGCATTCCTTGTAATGTTTTCTTAAATGCTTCAATTTGATCATCTCTCATTGCCACTTCAGTCTTCAGATCTGCTTTGATAAGATCGACCTCATTTTTATAAGCTTCCATCTGACACCTTAAACTGTCATTTTCCTCCTGCAAATAAAAAAAATTACTGATGAAAACATACATTCAGGTTATTGCTGTGAAGCAGAAAATAGAATATAAAAATTATGGCTACAGCATTTGCCTCTTTCCCTTGAATCAAATCATATAATGACATGATACTTCACAATATATCTGGCAGGACTAAACTCCTTCAGCATGTATGCATACATACCCACCCCTTGAGATACCCAAATTAATGAGTACTACATCTCTAAGTTCTCCATCCCTTCAGGGAACATCTAGATAAGTACAAATAGTAAGCGTGTCTGTCTTGCACTCAGCAGACGAAGGATCAAGCCTCCACCATGTCTTCCACTTAATGACCCACATGGGTCTAGCACTTAACATGAGTTATTAAAAAATTAAGGCCATACCTTCAGGTATTCATTCTGCCGAATCTTCTTCCTGGCAGGCTGGCCCGCATCCTCTTCATCCGAGACATCCATTTCTTCTGCATCTTCTTTGTCCGATTCATCCAGCTGAATTTCCTTGATTTCCTGGAGCACCAATAAAACAAGAACATGTCAGTCTTGTGCTAAATAAACACAGCAGCATCCAGAGCAAAGCCTGACTTTTTTTTCTCTCACAATAAAGCACTGCTTTTAAATTAACTTTATAATTTGAAGTAGTGCATTTTTTTTTTTAGCAGATTAAAGTTACAAGCAGCCTGATGTTGCAAGCGTTGATCAAGTCTATACCATGATAGCATTTTTTATTACATCAGACTGTTGGTGTGTATTGTAGTTCTGTGATTACAAAGGATTTAAGGCGAGGTTATCTGCTGGAAAATACTACACTCAAAATATTTCAACACAGATGAAGCTAGGATAAGAAGAAAATAGAGAGGGGTGGGGGCAAAAGTGAAGATAGGGAATAGAATATTAAAAAGACTGGGAAAGAAAGTTACAGTATGCAGAGAGAAAGAGATAAGGGCAATGTAAATAACCCTTCATTACTTTGAAAATATATATACTATACCTAATTGCTTATGCAATAAATCAAAATCTCTCATTACCAACTAAACAGTTGATATAAAAAATAAATAAGCATAATACAATACAGTGCTTCTACACCCTGATTGTTACTGCATAAACTATGCAAAGTGATGCCAAATTTTGTGTTCATCCAAATAATAGAGTCACAGAATAAATACACGAGCAGCCTGGGATACGCAACAGAGGTCAGTCAGTTAGTTGTCTCTAATTTGATCAAAATTAAGTGTAGGTAGATGCCAAACTGAGCCCCTGGATGCAGCTGCCATCAGAATTTCATCCATGTATGCCCTCTATAAACCTTACCTCTGGCATTAACAATTCTACTTACCTCATTGAAATCCTTTGTGTCATCATGTCTTCATAAGGTGAGGCAATCTAATTTCTCTATTTTGGATTATCTACAATAATAAATAATGGGCAATGCCATGGTTGAGAATTCATGCAATACTCACAAGAGGAACTATCATAAAGCAGTAGTGAAGAAGAATAAGAGCAACAATAGATTTGTGAATGCAATGCTGAGCTTTGCACCAGATTGGTCCTTATACTGCCTGCTGAGTCACAGTCGTCATGGCAACCATGCTCTTCCAACCATTCCTTTATCTTACCAAGAGACTTCTCCAAAAAGTTTAACGGAACTTGAGGCATGCCTAGCCTGGGATCTGCAGCATGCACGTGGTTCACTAAATATGGCTCTTATGACCAATCTAGGCCCATGCATATAGCATGGATGTATTAATGACGTCTCCCTCCATAAACACATGCAACTTTTACCTGTCGGCATATACATAGTGACAACTAGATTGCACTTGCAAAGCTGTGTGTGTCTGCTCAGTCTGGCTTACGTTCAATCTGATATCATTACCCAGAATTTCTGTCAGGTCACCAGTGTAGGTCAAGCCAGACTGAGGCATTACACACGTTTTGCTCACACTTTACACAAAGCTTCATTCAGGTAAGACACCTGCTGAATCAGGTAAAAGACACCTGCTCAATTCTAGCTGATGAGTGACTACTTTTCTGTGAAATTTATGAAACTTTAATATCTCTAAATACTGGCATTTAAGTATACTGTACACTGAAAATAAATAACTAAATGATAGTATACTGAAAATAAATAACTAAATGATAGTATACTTACATATAATAAATAAATAAGAGGAGAAATCTGTGAATTTTTCCCAGAATAAAGTTCATTCTTTTCTCCAAGGACAAGGGTCCTCAATGAGCACAAGTGCTACTTCCATATATTTATTTTATATGGTATGTGTATGTGTATTTGTATGTATGCATATTTGTGTGTGTATTTGTGTATGTGTATTTTTAAGTGTGTGTGTGTTTAGGTAGTGGGTTGGTAGACAGCAACCGCCCAGGGAGGTACTACCGTCCTGCCAAGCGAGTGTAAAACGAAAGCCTGTAATTATTTTACATGATGGTAGGATTGCTGGTGTCCTTTTTTTCTGTTTCATAAACATGCAATGTTTCAGGTACATCTTGCTACTTCTACTTACACTTAGGTCACACTACACATACATGTACATGTATGTATGTATGTATGTATGTATGTATATATATATATATTCACCTTTAATTTTCTTCTTTTGCACACCCTACCAAATTCATCCACCAATCTCTGCAACTTCTCTTCAGAATCTTGGGAGATTCTGAAGAGAAGTTGCAGAGATTGGTAGATGAATTTGGTAGGGTGTGCAAAAGAAGAAAATTAAAAGGGTTTGAATACAGGAAAGAGTAAGGTTATGAGGATAACAAAAAGATTAGGTGATGAAAGATTGGATATCAGATTGGAGGGAGAGAGTATGGAGGAGGTGAACGTATTCAGATATTTGGGAGTGGACGTGTCAGCGGATGGGTCTATGAAAGATGAGGTGAATCATAGAATTGATGAGGGAAAAAAGAGTGAGTGGTGCACTTAGGAGTCTGTGGAGACAAAGAACTTTGTCCTTGGAGGCAAAGAGGGGAATGTATGAGAGTATAGTTTTACCAACGCTCTTATATGGGTGTGAAGCGTGGGTTGATGAATGTTGCAGCGAGGAGAAGGCTGGAGGCAGTGGAGATGTCATGTCTGGGGGCAATGTGTGGTGTGAATATAATGCAGAGAATTCGTAGTTTGGAAGTTAGGAGGAGTGCGGGATTACCAAAACTGTTGTCCAGAGGGCTGAGGAAGGGTTGTTGAGGTGGTTCGGACATGTAGAGAGAATGGAGCGAAACAGAATGACTTCAAGAGTGTATCAGTCTGTAGTGGAAGGAAGGCGGGGTAGGGGTCGGCCTAGGAAAGGTTGGAGGGAGGGGGTAAAGGAGGTTTTGTGTGCGAGGGGCTTGGACTTCCAGCAGGCATGCGTGAGCGTGTTTGATAGTGAATGGAGACAAATGGTTTTTAATACTTGACGTGCTGTTGGAGTGTGAGCAAAGTAACATTATGAAGGGATTCAGGGAAACCGGCAGGCCGGACTCGAGTCCTGGAGATGGGAAGTACAGTGCCTGCACTCTGAAGGAGGGGTGTTAATGTTGCAGTTTAAAAACTGTAGTGTAAAGCACCCTTCTGGCAAGACAGTGATGGAGTGAATGATGGTGAAAGTTTTTCTTTTTCGGGCCACCCTGCCTTGGTGGGAATCGGCCAGTGTGATAATAAAAAAAAAAAAAAAAAATAAATAAATAAATAAATAAATAATATATATAATTATTATATATATATATATATATATATATATATATATATATATATATATATATATATATATATATATATATATATACACATATACATACATACATACATATACCCCTCTGGGTTTTCTTCTATTTTCTTACTAGTTCTTGTTCTTGTTTATTTCCTCTCATCTCCATGGGGAAGTGGAACAGAATTCTTCCTCCGTAAGTCATGTGTGTTGTAAGAGGCAACTAAAATGCCAGGAGCAAGGGGCTAGTAGCCCCTTCTGTATAAATTACTAAATTTAAAAAGAGAAACCTTCGTTTTTCTTTTTGGGCCACCCTGCCTCGGTGGGATACGGCCGGTTTGTTGAAAGAAAGAAGTGTGCGTGTGTGTGCATTTATAAGTTATTTTTGTGTGTGTGCATTTGTAAGTGTATCTGTATATGCATTTCTGTTTTTTTTTTTTAACACATCAGCTGTTTCCCACCGAGGCAGGGTGACCCAAAACGAAAGAAAAACCCCAATAGAAAGAAAAATTTTCATCAGCATTCAACATTTTCACCATCACTCGTACATAATCATTGTCTTAGCAGAGGTGCTCAGAAACGACAGTTTAGACATCCCTCCAAACTGCCAATATCCTAAACCCCTTCTTTAAAGTGCAGGCACTGTACTTCCCATTTCCAGGAATCAAGTCCAGCTAACCAGTTTCCCTGAATACCTTCACAAAATATTACTCTGCTCACACTCCAACAGCTCATCAGGTCCCAAAAACCATTCATTCAACATACTCATGCAGTAATCTGAAACCAAGACAACAGTGCATAAGTGTTTGCAATAAAGCTAACAGAATCCTTGGCTTCATATTCAGAAGTATAAATCATAGAAGTCCTCAGGTTGTTCTTCAACTCTACATATCCTTGGTTAGGCCTCATTTAGATTAAGCTGCACAGTTCTGGTCACAGTATTACAGAATGGATATAAATGCACTGGAAACCGTACAGAGGAGGATGACAAAGTTGATCCCGTGCATCAGAAATCTTCCCTATGAGGACAGACTGAGAGCCCTAAATCTGCACTCTCTAGAAAGGCGTAGAATTATGGGGGATATGATTGAGGTGTATAAATGGAAAACAGGAATAAATAAAGGGGAAGTAAATAGTGTGCTGAAAATATCCAGCCAAGACAGGACTCATAGCAATGGTTTCAAGTTGGAAAAATTCATATTCAGGAAGGACATAGGAAAGCACTGGTTTGGTAATAGAGTTGTGGATGAATGGAACAGACTCCCGAGTACCATCATAGAAGCTAAGACCTTGTGTAGTTTTAAAAATAGGTTGGATAAATACATGAGTGGGTGTGAATTGGACCTGACAAGCTTGGGCTACCAGGTCTAGTGCCGTGCTCCTTCCTTAAGTGGAAGTGACCTGACTAGGTGGTCATTGTTCTAGGCCAGGGGGTGGCATGGACCTGCTTTGCATGGGTCAGTAGGCCTGTTGCAGTGTTCCTTCTTTCTTATGTTCTTATTTCTGTGTGTTTATGTGTATTTGAGCATGTCCATACACTCACACACACACACACGAATAACCAGAGATGTCTCCTCTTTAATTATTTTTGCACATTTAAATAAGGATGAAGAATAAACTACTGTACTAAAATGAATTAATTATAGTATGTACGTATAAGTATGCAATTAAAAGAAAAACAACGAGAGATGATGCAGAGACAAGAATAGATGACCATAATCAAAAAATGTTTTTTTTAAGGAAGCTAAAAATTTACATAGAACGCAAGAAGAAAACTAGGAGAGTCAGTCTTATAATGGGTCAAGG